ATCTTCATGAAGATAACTGAACTACAGAAATCGTGGGTGAGTCTACTGGCCTCGTCACGGGGAAAGCTGATGACAGTGAAGATGATGCCGAGGCAAATGAACTGAAGCCAAATGTAAGCTGGCAGTGTATTAGATGAAAATTGTAAAGTCATTCTTAATTCATTTCTGGTGTCGTGCTTACTCCCTTATCTCCAGACCATGTCTGCGTAACTTAAAAAGCTCTTTCATTATGGCGGGGATATGGTCTTATCTTGCATACTTCGTATTCCTTGAGGCATTAGGTCCTGTAACACTGAAAAGTTTCCTGACACGGAACAATTAGCAACTCACCTATGAACTACTAAAAAATATGTATTTTTATGTCACACAGAGTTTCTCAAAAGCTTTTAAACAAACAAAATGTTCTCAGAAAATTACTTTTCCTTTAAGAGGTATAACACTATTTTAAAAGCAACAATTTTTGCAAGAGCATGGATTAAAATTCCTGCTGTTCACATTTTCTCATTAAATGCATTTTTAGATCCAGTGGAAAAAAAAAAAAAGGGCAACTAATTAATTCCCCAAGTATGGTACATTCTCATCCAGTGGAAGAAAACTGCAGCTATTTCTTCAATGATAGAAAAAGGAAAGAAATTGTGTTGCTTTAGCCCAAAGTTATATGCAGCTTTACTTATATTTTCAAAATTTAAAATGAAACCCTTGGTAAATGCATATTACTTTACTCAGACATTTGGGAAAAATCCATTGCAACTCCAACAAATTAATCTTGTGAATCAGTGCATGTCAGTACTATGGTTGTAGTACCTATGAACTATGGCACTTCAGTTGTTCTAGTATACGCTCGAGTTTTCTTTGGCAAGAAGTATCACTATATACTTAAAGTCAGAAAATATACCATAACTGAAGTCTGTGATTTTTCAGAAACATTTATTTTAAGGAAAACTGAAACCTTTTAACTGATGTTACTGTTAATTATATTTGGTTACCAAAACCCAAAAAAAGACAATGCAAAATTTATATTAATAATTTTTGTATCGGCACTAACAATGTCATTTTTTTTAAAGTAGTTTGTAAATTGTTCTCTGAAAAGCAGACTATTAGTCTTGCTGTGCAACACTCCTGTTGCTGCGAGAAGCACCCCCTCCACATAGTTGCCAAGTTTATTCCCATTGGATAAACTCTCCAAACAATATCTCAACTTCAAGTGGAACTGTCTTGGCTAGAAACAGTAACTCTAAAATTTAGAAATTACAAAACAGAGGACTAGATTAAACAACTAAATACACTTCTAGAATCAGTGGATTGTTTGTGATGTATTATTGTGCAAAACAGGATGAAATCGGTCCCTCTGTATGACAAAACCAAAGTCTGTTCCATGGCTGTCCCTCGCTGCAGCGAGCAGACTCCTGGGCAAGGTTTCTGAAGTATTCTGAGGAAAGCACTTGCAACATCTTTAAAAATTCTAATTAAGCTACTCCAGATACCACTGCATTTTTTTTCCTACTCTTTAAATTCTATTACCTGTTCCTAGCAGATGGAGAACCCTTGAAGTCCCATTAATATTGATACAAACTACCAAGCAGCGCACTCTCCAAAACACACGTGAAAGTACCAATTACCTGAAAAGTCAGCTAAGTCAAACAGAACAAATACCTACAAATAGTTCTTTTCAAAAGGAAGTTTTCAGCAGATGAAATAATTTGGGCATGGATCTGAAAAAATATGTAGAATGTTATATAAAAAGAGGTGCTGCTTAGTTGAATTGACAGGCAAAATCAAACTTTAGAGGAATGAATTCAAGCAGTATTAAAACCCAATACTGCAAATAAATTTTCTGGTTTATGTTAAACAATCTAAGTGATTGTTTCATTCTTTGTCTTTATTTCTCAATACCAGAATCGGTAGTTGAAAGTTTATGTTAGTTTGCCAATAACTAAGTTCTACAAAATTCCCCAACTCGAGACTTTTGAGTCAAAATTGGTTGCTCTTTGGAAGAATACGACAAGCAATATTTTCACCTGACTACTCTTCCAGTCTCCTACAATCTGTGACTTGGGGACTTCTGAAGGCACAGGACACTTCCATGTGTAGCTCTCAAGTCTCTCTCGTGACCATGTCTAGTGTACCCCTGTAACGCTCGCAAAGATTTCACATCCCCAACAGCCTACGGCAAGCCGTTCCGGTGCCTAACTGCGTTATGCGTAGATCCACATCCTCTGGTTTGCTGTGACCCTGCCTCCTGCTAGCTTCATCTGCCTTCCTCTTACGCTGGAATGAGCAGCCAACAGTCCCTGTTGATCCTCTCGTGATTTTACAGGTTTCCATTTATCTCACCTGCTTCATTTTTTTCCTAGTTTGGATCTCTCTCACTCTACAGACATTTGTACAAAGCTGTGCCAGACTTTCATCGTTTCCCTTTTCCCTCTCTGAACCATTACAGGTTCCTGTATACACGCTTCGAAATGAGTGACCCCGGGGCTGTGTCTGACATGCAGGTGTGCACTATTAGTTCACGGCAAGAGCTGTGGGCTGGGTGCTTGGGTTGCGTTGTGTTACCCTGAAAGGGGAACGACGGGGACAAAGATGCTAATGGTCCTTTGGGCTGACTTTGGAATCGGTTCTGCCAATACACTCTTGAGGCTTTGATGTAAAAGCAAGATAAATGACATGACATTTGCAGGTGACACTGATCGGAGGATAACTACGGGCCGGCAATGTGACACGGCTGGAAAAGGCTGGTCAGCTGTAGATACATCAGATTGAAATGTTTTCAGTTGATAATTAACACCATTGCCCAGTGGACTGAAGAGGTTCAGGCGAAATACTGTGTAAATTCCAATCGCTTTCATGTTCAAGAATGATTAATTTAAGCTGGTCAGGTAGAAAGTGGAGTCTTAATGCAAGCAGAATGGGTCTCATGAAAGATTTTAAAAGCGTGGCCTGCATTTGAAAGGAGACGGAATCTACAAAACTATGCATGTTTATTAAAAAGGGGGAATTAAGCTGGTGAAAAATATTGTTACAATATAAATTGATATAAATTGAATATGAATAAATGTATATAATATACTGGGAGAATGTTTCTAACTATCAAGGGAAAGAGTCTTTAGATGTCTTTCTCATTTTGCTATAGTGGGGAAAGGAACATAAATTGTTTCAAGATGGAATGTCTTAAGTTTATGGAAGGGAAGGCTAAAAAGGCCACAAAGGATACAGTTAAGGCAGGATGGCTCTCATGGGAAAACAAGTATTTATGAGAAATAACTGGGGTGTCAGGAGCACAGAAAGGACCCTGGTGGCAAGAAGAGGAAGGAGAGAGATACCAAACTTCGAGTGAGAGAAGGTCAGAGGTTCAGGTACTAGGATTTCAGACTTTTTTTTTTTCCCCCAGAAGATAACAGATATGAACAGGAAAAAAAATGATGTTATATCTCCTTTTGAGGAAGCTGCAGGCGCGTTAAAGAAGGATTTGGGTCATCAAGGCCCCCGCTATACATAAAGGTGTGAGAAGGAAGCATCTAGGGCATCACATCCCCTCCCGGGCAGCATGTGGGTGTGGGAAGAGGCGAGCAGCCCCGACTGCAGGGCGATCAGGCAGAGAAAGCCGCTGGGCTGCGCCTGCAATCGGTGCGTTGCCCCTTTAATTGTGTCCCCAGCCCTCGGGCGTCTCTGTCCAACGCCCACGTCAGCAAATACCTTTTGTTTCTCTCACGTTCGGGCTTCCAGGGCTCGGGGCTGCGGGACCAGCGCGTCGCCTTCAGCCACCGCGAGCCCCGACGCGGGGCCGGGGACCCCGCATCCACCGCCCGCTCCTCTCGGCTCGGCGGGATTCCCCCGCAAC